CATCTGTGCATTTTGAGTTATCAACATGAAACAAGCATATAAAGTCAGAGCAAAGTCAGAACTTCCTATCTGCATGCTTACTCTGGGTCAGTGAGTTAGCAAGTATTGAAGCGATTGGACCAGAATGACTGCTAGGCAAGTAGCATTTTTAGATGAAGAGTTTATTCATAAGGACCTACATGCATCCCACGGTATGAATATCCTTTATGGGAAAGATGCTAAAATTTGTTTTTACAATGCTGGTTGCTTGGTAATAGCAGCATGAAAGTGTCGTTTCTTGTGTTTCTGTCCTCCTCTGTAACATTTGTATCTTCCTCACACTGCTCTCATAGCTGGGCTGCTGCTACTCCATTTTTGTGGATCCATGGCCAAGCTGTGTTGCCTAACTGAGGTGTAGTAATTTGTGGTCATAGACCTGCCCTGTCTGAATTACAACATTTTGTCAGCTAAGGCAAATGAAAAATGTTTTTACACTGTTTATCTGGTTGGTGTTTTGACTTTTACAGTCCCACAACATAAAATGGGGAGTGCAGGCCAGATACATTCCCCATAGAGCAGGGGTCTCAAACTCAATTCACTTAGGGGCCACTGGACACATTTTCTTCTCCCGTGGGGGCCACTTGCCAAATTTCATAAAATGTCATACTTCAAAACAAAATGTAACTATATACGATACCAGTGTTAATGTCAGCATGTGCTTATAATGTCAGCATATGTGTTTGAGATGACTTCTTTGTATGCAATGTCAGTATATTTTTTAGTGATGGTTTGTGGGTGTATTGTCAGGAGTGATGTCGGTATGTGTGTTAATGTTTCTGTGTGTGTCATATCAGTATGTATACATGCGCATACGTGTTCATTGTCAGTATATGTATGTGTTTTTGTCCCACAAAAGAAAGACCCCCTTCACCTGCTTAAATTTTTTGCAGGGAGGGAGCACATTCCCTGGTGATCTAGTGGTTGATTAGTACGGTCTGCACCTTTGGCCGTTAGAGACCTTACTAATCCTTCCTTTCGACCTCAGTGAAGGTTGTCAGAGTCAGTCACATGCTGTGCTCTGACTCGCACTGAGAGCTGGCACCGCGAAGAGCAGCTTTGCCGTCTGTATCTGACAGAGGTGTAGATCGTGTAACTGCTCCCCCAAGTCAGGTACACGACTGCCTGTCTGACTTGTGAGCCGGCTGCGGTCCTCACGGTACCGGTCTGTGGCAGGGGTTCCAAAGTACTGGCCCACAGGCTGGTCCTCGGAGACTCCTGCCATAGAGGGTAATGTAATGTTATACTGAATTAACTTGCAAAATAGCTTCTTTTTTTTTCTTTTTAAAGAAGAACTTAGGGCAAAACTTTTTTTAACTCTTGCAGTGGAGCTACCCCCGCAGTGCAAGAGTTAAATGCTTGTTTTGGTCCAGGTGCAAAAATACAAAATTTATACTCACCTGAACCTCGCAACCGGCTGTTACAGCGCTCCCTCCATCCTGTCTCCTTTGCTGCAGCAATGGAATGTCCCTTGGCATCCTCACGTCCTATACACTGAGTATTGGATGTGATGACTCAAGGGACCTTAGACCACTGCTGCAGAGGTAGGAGAGAGGCTGGCAGGCAGGTCTAAGAACAAGCTGGCACCAAAGTTCAGGTGAGTATAAATTTATTTTTTACCCTAGGCTAAAACGGTCACCTAACCCTTGCAGTACGGGGCTAGCAGTTTCCTTTTACTAAACTACACCCAGCTTCTTTCCCATCCCCACAACATAAAGGCTAACCATTCTGTAGTTCAAAGATGAGAACTGGGAAGTCTATTTACTCTCTTTGAGATAAAACAGGAATGAATTTATACACAGGTAGATTTTTGCACGAATGTTTGTACAATAAATACCGTCAGAATTTTCCATACTGGTATCAGTAACTTGCCGATTGTGGTTTAAAATTGCATTTAATTTTCACTTTTATTTAACATTGCATTTTGAAATTAATGGAGTTTGAGTGAAAACCACAATGACTGTTAGAAATTTTTTCTTGATCAAACGAATGTCTAACATGCTCCTTCGAAAATTTTCAGGAACATTGTTGTTTTTGTCTAATTGATAGATATTCGAATGAACGTTCCGAAAACGACTACTTTCGTATGAAATTCGAACAGTGTATACCCCACTTTAGTGTTTAAATACGCTTTAAGCTTCTGTATGAGGTCTGTAGTCGGCTATATGTAGAAAGTGAAAGGCCAATACTGCAAGCTATAAATGCCGCTACTGATAATTAGTCTATACGTTTTTACAATGATGTATGGACATCTTAGCACTTGCATAAGGCAGCTGTTGATGCACACTTTATTGGTGGATGGTCTAAAGCTGGCCATACACCTATAGATTATCTACAGATTTTCTATGGTCAGATGTAAAAAGTGCAACAGATTCCTCCATCTACGCTAAACTGTGTGGATGAAGGAATCTCCCACTGGGCCAAGCTTCAGTGTCTTGCTAGTCGGCCTCGCTGGCTCTAAAAATACCTGAACAATCTTATTGGATGCAGGCATTGTCCAGGTATTTTGAGAGCCAGCGGGGCCAACTAGCAAGATAGTGAAGCTTGGCCCAGTTGGAGATTCCTCCATCCACACAGTTTAGCGTAGATGGAGGAATCTGTTGCACTTTTTACATCTGACCATAGAAAATCGGCAGATAATCAATAGGTGTATGGCCAGCTTTAACCTTGTTTGTAACAAAGTGAGCTAGAAATTAAAAATGTCAGTGTTTGTTTATAAAGGAATGATTCACATTATCCTGCTTTTAATGTGTAATTTTATGAGGCTTCTTAAGAACACAAAGCTATCCATTCATATTGGATTTGACAGATTTATGAATTGCTGGAAGGATAAATATGAGTTGTGGTTTTGTTAGTCGATAAGAAAGAACATTGTGAAATTTATTTTTGTTTGGGGATCTAAATAGATTTTTTTTTCCTTTCATGTGCTGTCAGCTGTTTGTGATGCCACTAAATAAAATGTCTTTAATTTAGTTTACAAGTGAGAGTACATATAATTAATTATGAGTCACCATATTACCCATGGAGGGTAATAACTAAATAAATTGGCATGGCTCAGATCTAGTTTTCATTTTAAACAGGCTGTCTGAAATGTTTTATTTGTTTTGCACAATGCACATACAGGACAGTTTAGCAATGTTAAGTCCTAGGATGTACAAACTGTGTATGACTGAATGTGCCTATAGCTGTTGATGCACAGCTTTGTCGATATATATCAGGAGTGGCTTATGGCTGCAATTTCACTGGGCATCTTTATATCTCAGCAGATATCTCTGGGGGAAAGTCTGCTAGCCAGTTTGGATCACTCTTGGTGTACCCCAAGATAACCCTGGTATAAATGGTATCCCTTGAATAGATCATTCTTTACTCCCATAAATGCCAATAATGGTACTGTTTTGACCACGCGCTACAAAAAATGTGCCATATAGGCTAGCAGACCAGTACCTAGCACTTTAAACATCATATAAATAATCTCTGTGGCCGCTTGCAGGTCATTCCACAAGTATTTGTCTGCTCCGTTAGGAAGAGAGATTGCTGAAGGGTCCAGATGCCATGCATGATGGGGACAATAGTTCACACTTCACTTTTTTTAACCCCTTCGTGACAGAGGCCTTTTTTTTTTATTACCCATATTATAATCCACATTTTAGGCCTGAAAATTACTTCAAACCCCCAAACATGATATATTTTCTGAAAGCCAAGACCCTGTAAAATAAAATGGTGGCAGTTGCAAATTTTTATGTTGCACGATATTAGCACAACTTATTATCAAACCCAAAACTTTAGTGAAAAATGCACTTAAAGGAGAACTATGAGGTGAGTGATTTTCACTCAACCTCATAGTTCGAGCCGACGTGTGACAATTAAACTGTCACACGCAGGTCTATAGATCGGGAAGTGAGTGAGCACATACCATCACTCAGTCACTTTCCGATCATCTCCCTGCAGAGAGCCATGACTGTCAGTCACCGCTCCCTGCAGGAATTCCCCCCCCCTCCCCGCTCTAATCCTCCAGTGCTGACTTGAGGAATGGACAGGAGGGGATGGGCACAGCTGGGTGGATCTCGACGGCATTGTGGGGATCCGTCCTGGCTGCGGCGCTTTTAGTATATAGCGAGCTGTAGCTCGCTATATACTGAGCTTTGTGTGATGGGAGGATGTTAATATGTCCTCCCATGACCGTTAAGAGAACAATAGGATAAAAAGCGTTACCCCATGGTTCTCTTTTAAGTAAAATTTAGTGCCACACAACACAATAAAATACCAATTTTTTTATAACATGTAAATAGATACCCAACATGTCCAGGTTAAAAATTGTGTGCGTCTGTGAAACAGCAACAAAATTCAGTACCCCAAGAAGTCTGTAGACGATGCTTTAAAGGCCCCTACAGGTCAACAGTTTTGAGATACGCATTGCCCCTAGAATTATTGCTCTCACTCTGGCATGCGCTGTGATACCCAACATGATTATCGCGATAGTCCTTTTCATACGTAGGCGCACCCGACGCGTGTTTACGTTATGACGCGTGCTCGCGGCGGACTTTAAAAAATGTTTACATTATTTTTACATTTATTTCATTTAATACTATTTTTAAAAACTGTTTATTTTTTTTTTAACTTTAAATGCGGTCACATAGGGGGGCTTAGAAGCCCCCCATGTGATAGCAGATTAGTGGTGACAGGTACACTTCAAGGTGACACTGGGGTCACTTTGAAGAGTTTTATTAACCCTAGGGGTTAATAAAAGATCAACCTGTGTAATAAAGTGTGCATGTCTTTTATGATTAGTTGTCATAAGAAGGATCTTTCTGCCATCACGCCGATCATGCTACTGTCTAATGTCTCTAGCCAACTTAAATCTAGTCATTGAGTAAATAATCGGCTTATATCTTTTTATATCGGCCTAAACTGGAATGATCACACACTATTTATTAACAGGTTGGTACTTCATTTTCTTTTGACAGATATAACTCGCATCATTCAACTAGACCTGGATCTGAAATTTAAAACCAACATCCGTGAACTATTTGAAGAGTTTGACAACTTCCTCCAGTTTTCTGTCATCGGGATTGCCCAGGAAATGCAGCCAGTATACAGGTAAAGTAACTTGTCAAACCGTACCATAGCCTCCAGACTTAAAGTAGTACTAAAGGCTCCACGTTTGTTACCTTAATGCATTCTCTGCATTAAGGTAAAAAATGCACCAGTACCTTTGCATGCCGCCCACCTCCAAACGCTTACCTTTCATCCGTTTTCACTATCACCAGCTCCAGGATGGTCTGCACTGCTTCCATGAAGTCCCGGGTTGTGGAGGAGGGATCCTGAGGGCAGTGAGGACAGGGCAGCTATAGCCTTCGAATTACTGTGAGGGGTGCGGCTTGCCGAGTGCTTTGTGTTTCATGTGGTTCTAAAATCTCTTGTTTGTTCTTTGAGCAATGCATGTCAGTGTTGTCCCTCTGACAATCTGAATTTCCCACTTATTTGTAGCAATTCCTATATTCCCTAAAAATCATGTTCTATATAACATTAAGGGGTTTCTTTGGTAAATGTATTCATATACTTTTCTACAGCTATGAAATATTTTTTCAATATTTTTATTATTACAAATAGAAAAGGTAATTCAAAAGTTTTGACATGTTTAAATATTACCAAACAAACTATTGTGTTAAAAAATTGGTATTCCTAAATAAGCAAACTAAAGCGAGTCATGATTAACCTTAGACGTCCCTTTCTATGGTAGGGGTAACATCACTGGTCTCATCACTTCTTAAATAGCATATAAAAACAGTAAAAAAAAGGTGTAAATGGTTTTCCAGATATAGGACAATCAAAGGGGATACATCTTTATTGAGGTACCGTATATACTCGAGTATAAGCCGTCCCGAATATAAGCCGAGGTACCTAATTTTACCAAAAAAAACTGGGAAAAAGTATTGACCCGAATATAAGCCGAGGGTGGGAAATGAGGCAGCTACTGGTAGATAGATACCAATAAAATTACATTAATATTTATTTAAAAGAAAAATAACCTAGCTCTGTAAGTGGAAAAGGGGGTACAGGGCTACATATCATGTACTACGGATCATTTAACCCATTCATATTAGCAGAGGATAATTGTAAATCTATTGTTCAGTGCACTCTATATGTAGTATATAGTACATGTACATATAGAGTGCCTGCAACAATACATTTACAATGATCCTCTGCTAACATGAATGGGTTAAATGATCCATAGTACAGGGCTACATACAGATCATTTAATCCATTCAGGTTAGTATAATTGTAAATGTATTGTCTGCACTGTATTAGCAGTATATACTCTATATAGAGTATATACTGCTAATACAGTGCAGACAATACATAATTGGTTACTGTAATAAATCCCCCCAAATCTCCCCTCACTTACTGTGATTCACTGTGCCGGAGCAGGGACGAGTCAGCGGCGCGCTGGTCCAGTGGGAGGAGCTCCAGGTGGGGTCCTAATTTAGCTGGCTTAGAGGTGCCTGCCCGATAATTACAACCCCACCTGGAGCTCCTCTCGCCTGATCAGCGCGCCGCTGACTCATCCCTGCTCCCCTGCTGTACTGGCGCTGCGGGATTTTTTTTCTTTTCTTCTTACTTACCTCGCCGAGCGTCGCGTCACTGCTGCTCCGGTGGGCGGCGCTCCGAGCGGGGTCATCTGGCAGTCTCCGGCCACCTAAATTAGGACCCGGAGACTGCCAGATGACCCCGCTCGGAGCGCCGCACACCGGAGCAGCAGTGACGCGACGCTCGGCGAGGTAAGTAAGATGACACCTGGCGCTGACTCGAGTATAAGCCGAGGGGGGCACTTTTCACCCAAAAAAATGGTCTGAAAATCTCGGCTTATACTCGAGTATATACGGTATATGTGGTAACCTTTATACCTTTATTTGTTAGAGTGCGACAGAAGAAGGGATCAAGGATGGAATAGCCATAGAAGGGGTAGACATGGGATTAGATTGTGAGATATCATTAGTTGTCCCATGGAACCTGGCCAGAATAACCTATTTTGTTTCTAAAGAGATCTAACTTATCAAGGAGAACAATATTTCCTTGAGTTGTTCCATCTTATCTTTGAGCAGACAGCTTAGCTTCTCATTGGGCACTATCCATGCCAACTTGTGTTTTGATGTGTTAAAAAGGAATACCTCTTACCACTGTAATTTTCCTGGCTAAGGAAATTTACAGAGATACATTTTATTTTATATTTTGCAATGGATGTGATTTTGAGTCCTATTAGTTCACCACCCATTAGGATTTTATATACTGTATATTGGTATGAGTAAGGGAGTTGATGAAGTTTTTAGATTGAAATCCAAAATCTTTGGATTTTAGGTCCACCAAATGCAGGACACTGTGCCCTGTTTTGCATTCGCAGAAGCATTTTGAAGCTTATGGGATAAAAGTAGCTGAGTGGGAGGGCACCATTTTATACCTTATGACTTTATAATCTCCTTCTATAAAAGATGCGTTATTGGAAACTTTTCATTGGGGCTAGACAAGTCCCAGGAACCAGATACCATTGCTTTTTAAAATTTACAGCTGGGACCCAATTTTTGAGGTTTCCTGCCGCCTCCTGGATTGGACAGACTGGCTCCTGAATCACCTATTTGGCCACCCCTGATTTTCATGCTACATTCGTCCTTCTCTGGCATTCCTTCAAGTCTAGTGTTTTCCATATATCACTTTCACCTAGCTTTCATGTGCTATTAAATTGTTTGATGTGCCAGTAGGATACAGTTGTCCTTATCTAATGGAGCTCATCTATAGCCAAAGCTTTTTTTCTAGATATTTCTGAAGGGTTGGTGCCTTTTGGTTTTTATTGCAGCCTGTGTTCCCATTTCGCACTGAGGCATAATATTCCTGCTTCCTGCCTGGCTGATGGGTATCAGACAGAACTGGAAGGGAGTAAAAATATTTTAATGGTGACAGATAGCAAAAACACATTTCTAGCAGAGTGAGGAAATGTTTAGAACCTCTGTAAAGATTATATTGCTATATGTATGCCTATTAGGGATGTTTCTCCTCACTCCGTGTCCAGGTGATGGCTGTGGACAGAACCGACAGCTTTTAATAGCTGCCAGAGAAATCTTCTCAATGGGTTGCAGACAGAATATAAAACTTAATAGAGATTCTATCAGAAGCTAAAAGTAAACTATTAACTGGAGCTGGGCTGTAAGGTATATATTTTCTTTTGTGTTCAGAATTTATTCTGAATTAGTTATTTGGAAAGTACCTTTTATCACATGCCTCTGTTGCATGAATCTACTAAGGTGATGATCCTTCCGTGAACTTTATAAACCTTTAGGTAGCAATACAACTGTCCTGAAAAAATTAAAATATGCTAATATCAGTGTGAATACCTTTTAGATATCCTCTAAACTGTTACATGGAAACTTTAAGTAATGGTGATTTTTTAAATTTTATTTATTCATTTGTTTTCAAGAATTTTTACAGCTTTACAAGTAAGTGTATTTCCACTTTTACAGCCAAACTGGAATAACGCCGATTTTTATATTTATTCCATGTTTCTCATTCACATAGAATAACAAAAAACTGCTGTTTACATAAAGAAGAAAAGTCACTCTGAATTTTGCTCAGGAGTGCAAGGGGGTGGGGAGGGTAATGCTTAGGATAATTAAATCTGTCTATACTCTGCTGGCAGATGTAAACTAAATTTGAACACTGTTCTAACAAAAGGTTAAAGGAGAACTACGGGGTAACCTTTTTATCCCATAGTTCTCTTTAGGGTTACGGGAGGACATATACTAACTTCCTCCCGTGACCCAAAGCTCAGTATATAGCTATTGCTCGCTATATACTGAGAGCGCCGCAGACGGGACGGATCCTGACAATATCGTCGAGATCCACCCAGCTGGCTGATTGACAGAGGGTTTTGCCTATCTGGAGAGCCAGCTGTGCCTGCCCCCTCCCTCGTCCGTTTTCTGCAGTCAGTGCTGGGGGATCGGCGAGGGGGGGTATCCCTGAGGGGAGCGTTGACTGACAGTCAGGGAGATGATCGGGAAATGAGCAAGCGATGGTATGTGTTTGCTCGCTGCCCGATCGATAGAGCCGACGTGTGACAGTTTCATTGTCACAGGTCGGCTCTAACTATAAGGATGAGTGTAAATAAATCACCTCATAGTTCTCTTTTAAAGATCTAGAAGCATTTTATGTCAATGGGGGGAGCTCAGTCTGTCCCTAGTCTTTCTATGAGGTTTCCAGACTCTTGGAAATTTAGGTAGAAGCTTGCAAAGCCTGCTACACAGACATATCTAAAAGGTTACAATTTTTAGTCTTTAAATATGGTGTATGAATAGGAACACATAGCACACATTATAGTGTTTAAATGTATTATAGTGTTTAAATTAAATGTTGTCTGTCTTTGGCCAGTTTTAGTGATTGTGATAAAGAAATACAAATCAAATGACAGGGGTCAGAGAGTTTAATGACACCCCTTTTTCATGGAGACAGAAAGGTTTGCTATTACCATTAAAGCAGGTGTTGGCTAATTGTCTCCTTAAGCATATTCCCATTGGTTGGTATAGGGGTGATAAATGGTGATCTGCATGTTTTAATGACAGATTTCATTTTAACCTATGATGTGCTGACTTGGGATGCTGAAGAAACACAGCAACAAGTGACAATACACTCTGTTTAATCTTTTGAATTCCCATTAATGGTATTTATAGCATTTCAGATTGCATGGCAAACATGCAAGGCTGATCGATATGAAACAGAATTATCTGGGGCTTAGTGGCATAGGGACCAGGGTTACAGTATTCAAATCTTCCACTAATACAATTCCTGGCATCCCATTTTACTAAATTAGAGATATATACAGTTCTAATGTGAAAATCGATGGATAGGAAGGGGGGGGGGGTTTCTAATTCAGAGTTTGCACCAGGACCCGTGTCTCCTTAGTTATTCCTCAGCTTGGGCTCTCCTGGATGTAACAATAAGCTTCTGACAGATTGTGAAGGATTCCAGTCCCTTAATATCTGGATGGCTCATGTTCTCTATGTCTAGTATAAAGCCACCATTTAAACTAAATTTCTTTGTATAGGAGAAGCTTT